GTTTTTATTGACATTCCAAATAGTACCTATCATTTTGCCGCACCCTGTATAATTGTAGAATTTCTCCAGGTTCCTTTCCGTGTCGAATCTGCATCTTCAAAATAACCAATTGTTTGACGACGTGTTGGTAAAATCTCATTTACCGTCTTCAGGTTTTCTTACTTCTGCTTCGCGTTACTACGTTCGGCTTACTAGAAGATGTTTGTCCACTTGGTGAAGTATATACTGTGCTTTCATTCCAGTCTGTGGTATTCTTCGTGTGGCTGCGTGTCACAGGTCTTACATTTAACAGTGCTGTGGGTTCTTATGTTTTGCTTGGCCTATTCTCAGCATTCCATTTATTAATCTTCTTAGTTTCCAGGACAGGTTTCCAAGCTGTCGGCAATCTTTGGGTATCGTCGCGTGTGTTGAGATTTTGAAGATATTTTTCAATTTCGATTGCCTCTCTAATTATTCTTTTTGCCCTAGGCTCCATTCTTGCTAGTACCTTGGTATTCTAGAAATCACTCAGGTAGCCAGTGGTTTTTGCATGTTGAGCTAATGATGACGTTTTTTAATTTTTCTGGACGGCATTCTGATGTTCTTCTTTCTAGGTTTGAATTCTTCTATTAGTTTGTCCAATATACGTCTTCACAGTTTCCGCAGGGAACTTCATATACTCCTTGGTTTTCTAAAGGAATGTTTGTTTTGGCTGATGGTAGCATATTGCCAATCTTCCTGTCTGTGTTGAAGATGGTTTCTATTTTATGTTTCTTTAAAACCCTACTTATTTTGTCGGCAGTTCCCTTGATGTATAGCAGGAGAGTTTTGGCTATTGGTTTATCTTCTTCCTTCTGTTCTTTGATTCGTCTAGGTTTTAAAGCCCTCTTGATGTTGTTATCAGAGAAACCATTTTGCTGTAACGCCAATTTAACGTTTTTAATTTCCTCTTCTTTTTGGTCGTTGTCAGAGAGTCGTTCTGACCTTGTCATTAATATTTTGATAAATGATTGTAGCTGCGATGGGTGGAGGTGAGATTCTGCGAGTAGGTACCTGTTCGTGTGTGTTGGTTTCCTATATACCGTACAGCCTAGACATTCGTCTTTTTTCTTTATACATACATCAAGTAAAAGTAGTTGTTGGTCCTTTTCCAGTTCCATGGTGAATTTGATTTTTGGGTGTCTGTTGTTCAGATGAATTAAGAATTCTTGTAATTTTTCTCCTCTCCATGTGTCCATACAACAAAGGTATTAGAAGAACGGGCAATAGAAGCAGCAGAATATAAACCATCTATGTGGCTGAGACTATGCAGATTATATATATACAGTGTGTTCTGAAAGTCCGTTAGGAAACTCCGGGGGGTGATTCTACGGATTAAAATAATAGCAGTATGTAATGAAAATTTTTTTCGAATTGTCAATTGTTTGCGAGTTACAGCTTGTCAAAGTTCATTTTTTTTTTTTTTCTATGTAAATAATTTATTTAATTCAAGTTCGAATAGTCTCTCATTTGGCACACCCACTAAGTAGAAAAAAAAGTTTCATTATACGCCGCTAGAGGGCACTTTACCTAGAACTCAAAATTTGCTTTGTTCATAACTTTTTTCTCTTGCTAGATGTGACAGAAATTTAAACATTATTGAAAAGAAAAATAATATCAGAAAAAATTATGTATTCTCAGTTCAAGTCGATAAATGTAACCGTTTAGCAGGAAATCGCTATTAAAGTGTTATTAAACATCAAATTTTTGATAATTCTTTCTGCAATGAATCAAGTTGTCATGCTGTACTCTGTCTGTCAAACCAACTTCGTTAGTAAATAAAATATTATTAGTAAATTCATTATCCTCAGCTTATTTTTCCACGTTATTACAGAGTCGAAAAAAAAATTATTATGGTGAAAAATGTAACATACCTTCTTTAAACAATTTTTATTACAATTCGTAACACCAAAATTACTAATGATATTTATTAGAAGCATGGCAACTTGATTAATTACAGAAAGAATTATCCAAAATTTGATGTTGAATAACACGGTTACATTTATCGGCTTCAACAAAGGGCACATAATTTTTTTTTGATATTGTTTCTCTTTTCAATAATTTTTAAATTTCTGTGATGTCTAGCAAGAGTTATGAACAAAACAAATTTTGAGTTCTAGGTAAAGTGCCCTTTAGCGGTGCATAGTGATACTTTTCTCTGACTACTGATCCAATAGAGCTTCATTTACTTAGTGGGTGTGCTAAATGACGGACTAATAGAACTTGAATTAAATAAGTTATTTAAACAGAAAAATAAAAAAAATGGAACTTTCACCTACAAACAATTGACAATTCGAAAAAAATGTTCATTACATACTGCTATTATTTTAATCCGTAGAATCAACATACTTTCAGAACACCCTGTATATACAGGGTGATTCATTAATAATTGTACATACGATAATTGAATAATCCTGGGCTGAAAATATGACACATAACGTGTAGATAAAATATGGCTCCTTACGGAGTTACGCGCTGTTTTTATTTAAAAAATTTTAAATGATTTTTGCCCATTTAACCCTGTTTAATAATTCAACTAATACAATGCAATCCCATGACAGAAGATACCGACTTGAATAATAGTAATATGACAAATAAATTACATGATAATATAAAAATAGTAGGTTAATTACATAGAAAGTATTGAAGAATTGAAATATTGTACCAAAATAAAAATTCCGCCAGTGGCCTAAGAGTTAGGAATGGGAAACTGCCCTACTACCCCTGTCGTACGTCTCTGATAGTAGCCATGAATGATTTTGTAGCATTTTTTTAATATGTTCTAAAGTATCTAAAGTTTATGCCAAGTATGATAGGGAAATATCAAACAGGGTTAAAATGGGCACAAATCATTTAAAATTTTTTATATAGTCTCATCGCATGCACAATTCCACATCATTCACCGCGTGTTATTTTTGTTGAGTGGATGTTCACCACACAAACAGTACTTAACAAGTAATCTAGCAAAAAACTCAAGCAATAATCAATAAATGAAATACATAAAAATAAATAGTCTGTGGCTTTCAGCCATGAAAAAACATTCAAATTCACAGTTAGATGTACTGTCTTCCAAATGCGGAACAACAACTGACCACCTTCGCTTCGTCGCCGTTGACCCGCCCTATCTCCCTTCACGTGCACTGTAGGTTGCCTACAGTTCATGTATTTGTAATACATGATTATTACAGTGGCGGCATACACAAGTATTAAAGTGCATTTTAAAAATGTATGTATGTAAAAATGAATCACCCTACAGGGTGTTTCATTAACATTGGGAAAATCGAAAGCTAAAGAACGTGAAATGATGACCTTTGGCGCAAGCATGCCTTATCCGAAAGTTGATAGTTTCGGAAATACAGAGTGTTAAAAGTTAAAATTTTAAATCGTTTTTTTGCAATGATTCTGAAAATATGTAGGTTAGGAACTTGAAAATTTGTGAAACTATATTTTTTTAAGCGACGAATAAGGTGCGTGTTGTAATTTCAGTGTTAATTGTTGTAATAACATGAAGAAACTCTTGGTTTGTTTCGTTCTCGTATTATCAGAACCTATGTTCGTTAAATCGATTTTTCTCGAAAACGGATCGAGATACCGAAATGAAACAAGAGTACATAATTAATGGAAAAATGAGAAATCAGGTTTTGAATCAAATTTCATGTTAGAATACAGGGTAAAAAATTATTAACTAAATTTTCGGTAAAATTAGTCGTAAGTGGCGCCCTCTATGAGCAACGCTGCCTTATTCGTAGCTTAAAAAATATACTTTCAGGTTCCTAACTCATATATTTTCAGAATCATCGCAAAAAAACGATTTGAAATTTTAACTTTCAACACCATGTATTTCCGAAACTATCAACTTTTGGATATGGCATGTTTTCGCCAATGGTCACTATTTCACGTGTAGTATACGCTTTCGATTTTTCCGTTGTTAATGAATCACCCTGTATAATTGAACTTGAAAGAAGATATGGAATTTGATACTGCAAAAAATATTGATAGGTACTCATATTATCAATAAGCTGATGATTGTTGATGGAGAAAAGAAATTACATATTGCGTTTCACTTATTAAAATCCCCTAATCTAAGGAAGATATTTTCAGTTTCTTTGTGAAAGTATTGTTCACTAAATTCCTAAATTTGAACCAATTTCAACCATTCCTTTAAGGAGGTTTATCGGGTACGGAGGTACATACGTCTAATGTCTAACAAAAATTTCTGTAGATTCGCTAGTGACTAAAATAGTAAGCCTTTAGATTTGGCAACGTTGCACTTGGCTGGCGCGCGGCTCGGCATTCGCTCGCTCCCGTTCGATCATTCTGTTTGTTTGGACACCTGCGAATTTCAAATAATACGCTACGTCGAGACCGCGGCGTTGCCGCTATCACGCATGTAGAGGATAAGTTAGTCAACAGCAGCAGTTTGAAGGAGAATTATTATAAATTATGTATCTTTCAAGTATCTAATCGATTTCTACAAGCTGTCATACGGTTCCTTAGACATCGGTTCCCTATTTATACAAGTTGCTGTGGAAACTGTTCATTAATTGTTAAGTGGAAAGACCAAAAAAATCTGCATTCTCATAAGACTCTGTACTAAATCGTGAAAAATTATTTTATTAATATCTCCTCTCTTAGGTTTCCAAACTAGTCATAATTTTTTTTGAGGATTTTCGTCATATTAATAAGCTTATATTAATTTTTTATGAATATTTGTTCGTCAATTCCAAATCAGATAAACTTCTTTAAATCTCTTGGATTTCAAAATAGCAAATAATTATTTTATACTGTTTGATCTACTCAAAATATCAAAGATTCAGATTTATATGTTACATATTTTTAAATTTTAAAAGCTCCAACACAAAGTGGATAAATAAAATCAAAATGAATTGAAATGATCTTGTAGCCAACTAAACGTCTTACATTCAATCATCCATCATAATTCTAAAAGATGAAAATTAAATTTCTCATTTTTCTACTTTCAGTTCATCATAGTGTCTCTTAAAGATGGAATGTTTAATAATGCCAATGTATTGTTCAGGACAAAGTTTGTTGATGGAGTTTCTGCTATTTCAAGAACAATTAACAAAGCCCATTAATATGTTAGTATAAATAATTGTAATTTTTTTTTAATAAACTTTTTATACATTTAATTTTTGTGTTTTTGTAGAACTTGATTTGTTGAAGCTGATTATTAAAATATATCAAATACATTTAAGTTCAAATATAGTAGTATGGTAAGGTAGGTAAAGACATATTTTTTATACAAATTTATTAATAGCGAGAAAAACGCGTTTTTAATTTCAAATTCAAGTTATTTTAAAATGTATTTATTACCTTTAAACTAAATGTCTTCAAAATATTTTACATTAACTTATTTGTTTTATAATTACTATTGTTAAGTTATATTCATATTCTTGTAATAATAATCATGTCAGAGCCGAGCGCGAAGTGCGCCGACTCAATAAGAAACCTGGTTATTCCAGCCGCTGATTTAGGGTTCGCCGCACGAGCTCATCCCTTCTAAAATTTCTGTAGCCTGCTATGCATGAAGCAGAACCCTAGATAAATGATACTGTAGATAGGAAACTTGAACAGATTTCGTGGTTAGTAAGCGCGCTAACTGTTGACACTTTCTCCAACTTCTATTGCTTTCCTTTTCTAGGAATTATCGGTACGGTAATACAGTGAGTTAAATTACCTGTAGCCGGTAAAAGATGCAAGCGCCATCTAGTTGTACGCTCTACAACTATATACCTATCCAATATTTATTTTAGGTATTCTGCCGCCGCTAAATTTAAAATTACATAACAAATCTCACCCTACACAGATCACTCAGAAATTGGTTTTGTAAAATAATTTTCACGTAGATAATGTTTGTCGCCATGAGAAAATAAGTACATTTGATAAAAAGCATTAAATTCACTCAAGCATTAAAGACACTTTTAAAAGCTCTAATAGCCTTCCTACTTAAAATAAGAAATGATTTTGATACTAACTTTTTGAAATGTTTTTTGAAAAAATTTCAAATTTCAGTACATATTTTGAAAAAAAAACGAGTGGAAATGATTATAGAGCAACTTTCAGTGCTTTCTATATTGTATTAGCTTTCACGGTGAATAAAAAAATATTACAAGTAAATAATTTCACTAAACCAATCTGAATAATTCTTGTAATAGAGATTTATTATGCAATTTTAAATTTTTCGTTGTGTTGATATCCATAAAAAAACTACCTACCTCTGATCACGACAAACTTTCAGTCATTTTTTATTAAAACAAACAAAAAACAAAACATTTTATTATTAATAAAAAAATGTAATTATATGATCAGACATTATTATGTTATACAGTGAATGAAATGTCTAATAAAACACACTGAAAACACAAATAAAACACACCAACACTCGCGAAACCTAACCAACAATAAACATGAACAACATAAATTACAATTGTCAAAATCTATAGACTCTTTCTCCAACTTGTATATCCATCTCACGTCACGTGGTTCCCAGTTTCCCCATATTTTCAAGTATAAGTTCTCGGGCCCTGAGCAGAACGGCACTCGGCCATCTCATACACTCCACTTTTATTGTCCATACATGTTCAATCATTGCCAAAATAAACACACAAAACTACAAATTGTTTATTGTCTTTACTCAAGAAGAGAAAATACAACAACTATTATACAGGGTCTCCCGAAATTCATGCAACAAAATTTGTCATAGATTCTTAAGACAAATTTAGGGGACCCGTATTTTTTCTTTTTGCCAACTGGCCCCCTCTCGGAGTTACAGCCCCCTGAAATCTGCCCCTAAGAAGTCTTCTATATTTCAAAACCATGTTGTACCAGAATCATCAAATTTGGTACACAGGGGTTTTATGACGTGGAATCTCACAGTGCTATGTTTTTTGGTGAGAAACGCTCTTAAAGACACTCTTTCGTGAGCACCCTTGTCTTTGAAACCAGAAAAATTTGGTCGCTAATTTCATTTTTTAAAAAATTATTAGCTAGAAAGCCATTGAATTTAGAAACTTTTTTGCCTCTTGATATTTGTTTCGTAAAATGCAATGTTTTTGAGGAAAATGGCGAATCACGATATGCATTTGATCACATTTTGACATTTTTCTCGAAAACATTGCGTTTTACGAAAAAGTATAAAGAGAGAAAAAGTTTCTAAATTTAATGGCTTTCTAGTGGACTGATAATTTTTAAGAAATTTAAATATGCGACCAAATTTTTTTGGCTCCAAAGACAAGGAGGTCCACGAAAAATTGTCTTAAGGGAGTTCCCCGCCAAAAAACGTAGCACCATCAGATTCCACATGTCGTGAAACTCCAGTGTACCAAATTTAGTGATCCTCGTACAACAGAGTTCTGAGATATAAAAAAAAGATTATTCAGGGGGTTATAACTCCGAAAGAGGGGGCCACTTCGCAAAAATAAAAAATACGGGTCCCCTAAAATTGTCTTAAGAATCTTGTTGCATGAATTTCGGGACACCCTGTATAAAATCAGCAGTTATTTATTAATTATTAATTTTGTATCTACAAAATGGACGAATTAAGAAATCCTCTGAGATATTCCATAGTGAACTCTGTTACTGCTTACATACAATGCTTCCAAATGTTTCTCCATTCTTTACTGTTGGCAACTTCAATGGGAACCCTGCAAATGATTCACCGTGACTAAGGACTGGGTCATGGGGAACATCGGAGTGGGCCTAGGGGTTCTGACAGCGGATTCGCCCCCACAGAGTTTAACCTAACAATAAGGGCATGTTAAAGATTCCTAGCTAAGCTTAAGAAAGTGCAAGGTACATAATTACGTAACTGGCAGTGACCAAGTAGATACGTCACAGCATAACCTGAAAAAGCATTGTACTTAAAACTAGAATCATTCAGAAGCAAGTCAAACCGGGATCTATGTAGAAGTTAAGCCATCTTAGTGTAATATATTTTCACTTATTTAAGACCACAGCTTTTGTAATCGCTTTTGTACACCAAACAAACTTTGGCCTCTTTTTTAAAGTTACCAGCTTCGGTACTAATGATTTAAATTTTGTTAAAAAACTTGAATAAGATCACAAAATGTGATTACAAATTCTAAATTTCTGGTCTTAAATAAATTTAAAAGGCCACTCATAAAAAGATGGAACATTACCTTCCTTGGGTTTATCCACCAATAAATCGTTCCGGTTCTTACTAGTAATTTTTTTTACAACAAATACAAGAATAGCTGTCAACTTTTATTTGTTTATTTTTATGCTTTTTACGTATATTCAAAAAATTTGTCGGGTGTATCACTTGATGGACACTGTTTTTCTGATACCATGTTTATGGGAACTCTTTTTTGTTAATTAATGACCTAGAAAAAAGTTTGGCCATATAATATTTGTTATAAAACAATATATCTGTAATTTATTTTCATATACAGGGTGACATGGAAAAAAGTGCAATGCATATCACCACGATACAGGACCTCAAAAGATATAAAGGGTCTCACCGGGTTTCCACGTGATATCTGCACTGGCGTGTTTTTTAACAATGGTGTCTTCAGTGTCTTGCTTGTTGATAGAAATAACTTTTGCCAATTATCAGAGTTCTATCTTTGCTCATTTAAAAAAAAAATGGGGTTGCAACCCTTAACTTCAAAATCATTTTTCTATAAAACTATGATAGATATTTGAATAAATCCAACGGCATATGAAAGCTACTGATAAGAATTATGTTGCATATTTTTTTCATAGTTTTTCAACTATATAAACAGAGAAAAAAAAAATTGAAAAAATGAAGGGTGGTTTTTTGTGGCTATTTTTCGAGTTACACTAACCAAAAAAATCACGTATAATCAGTGAGTCTTAAGCTACAATGCATAGCAGTTACATAGATCTGCGATGGGTGGATCATATTCAAAATAATCATTTTATGTTGCTAGGTACAGTATTGTGAACTGATACTTGTTAGAACTTTAGAATATACCACGACAGTGATGTGTGAGATCTTTGTGAAGTTGCAATATTGTATAAGTTTTAACTGACGTATTACATTTACAGATGTTATATAAAAAGATATCGGTATCCGATTTTGTCATAGTTAGTCTGAAAATTAAATCTTTATAGTATGCCTGTAGACTCATAATGGTATGAATATTGTATCCCAATGTCATCTTGGAACAAATGGAACAAAATCAATTGCGCGTGCGCAAGCTAACAGCTGATCCAGTCAAGCAGAGGTTAAGTTCTACATTGTTCATGGGTGAATGATTCGTTTCTATATTTTAAAAATAATTATAAATAAATATTAAATATGTGACCGAAGATTTTATTGTGTTGAAAATTAAAAAAATCATTATTGTGAAGACTGGTTAAAATATTCGACATTACATATACAGGGTCAGAAAGTCCCCATTGTTCATCGGTCGTTACGTGAGAGCGATAAAGTAAGTAATAAAAATCCGTGCGATAGAGAAAGATGGTTATAATGAAGGCGTCTAATAGTCACCGCCCTTTTCGCCCTTCCACATTATAGCCACATTTCTCTATCGCACAGATTTCTATGACTTTCTTTATCGCTCTCACGTAACGGCCGATGAACCATGGGGACTTTTCGACCTTGTATGTACTTTTCACATCAATTGAAGCTATAATAAGGCTAGAGAATATTCGGTTGGATATAATTTTGAATATTTTTTATTTTGTTAAAGCCTTTATATTATTGTAAAATGGAAGACAATAGCGGTATACAAAATACATGTATTAACTGTAATCGAAATTAAAAAAAAATTGTTGGAAAATATAATAATTTTTTTTATTTCGATTACAGTTAATACATTTATTTTGTATACCGCTATTGTCTTCCATTTTACAATAATATAAAGACTTTAACAAAATAAAAAATATGCAAAATTATATCCAACCGAATATTATACTCTCTAGCTTCAATTGATGTGAAAAGTACATATATGTAATGTCGAATATTTTAACCAGTCTTCACAATAATGATTTTTTTAATTTTCAACATACAATAAAATCTTCGGTCACATATTTAATATTTATTTATAATTATTTTTAAAATATAGAAACGAATCATTCACCCATGAACAATGTAGAACTTAACCTCTGCTTGACTGGATCAGCTGTTAGCTTGCGCACG